CATGAGGATAATACTCATGTTTATTTATTAATCATTACTCATATTTATTCACTGCATTAAGGTTTACAAAGAGGCTTATATAGTATGTGGGACTATTGTGAGAGAGTGAGATGCAATGTAGTCCAGTGCCCTCAAAGCCAGGAAGACCTGGGTTCAAGTCCTGCCTCTGAAGTATACTCCCTGTGTCACCCTCTGCAAATCATTTAACCTTGTAATGCTCTAGGCAATTCACTGTACATATAAGGTTCACAGGAGGCGCTGGCCTGCCTTGGTACAGAGAGGAACCTTGAATGATATGAGGAGGGTGTGCATTCCAGATATGGTAGTCTAGGCTATACCAAGGCATGGAATCCAGAAATGGAATATCATGTGCCAGGGACAACAAGGAGCTTTGGCTGGAATCTAGGGTGTATGTCAGGGAGTAATACGACATCAGTCTAGAAAGACAGATTGGAACCAGAACTTCAAAGACAAACAGAAGAGTTGTAGTTTATCCTAAAAGCAATAGAAAATCAACAAAATTTCTTGGGCAGTGTCCTGACCTGCACTTTAGGACTTCTAATCTGACAGCATTATGGAGGACAGATTTAAAAGATGAGAGATTGGAAGCAAGGAGATCAATATGGAGACTCTAGCAATAGCTCAGGTGAGAAGTGTTAAGGGCTGGAACTGCAGTGGTATCCACGGGATTGGAGAGAAGGGCACAAAACCAAGAGATGTTTTGGAGGTGGAACTGAAAAGTCTTACAATTGATTGGGATGAAACAAAGAAAGCAATTGAATATGCCTCTTATGTGGTGAATCTGAGCAGGATGGTGGAACCTTTGAGACAACTAGTGAGATAAGGAAGAACCATGGATTAGCAATTTGAATTAGCAGCTTGTAAGACCCACTATCCCAAGAAAGACTGAAAGTCTTCTGGAGAAGAACAATCCAGCTGTCAGAAGATGTTTGTTCTCTGGATTTGTCTCAATTTGGGGAAAAAATCAGCATTTATCTAGCACCTACTATGTGTCAGTCACTGTGCTAAGCACTTTACAAGTACCAGTTCATTCAGTGATCTTCACAACAACCCTGCAAAGTAGAAATGGCTATTTCCCCCTTTTTACAATTGAGGAAACTGAAGCCAACAGAGGTTAAGTGACTTTCCCAAGGTCACAGCTAATAAATATCTGGGGCAGGGTTTGAACTCAGGTCTTCATGACTTCACCCCCAGTGCTCTATCTACTAAGCCATCCAGCTTGATGACCATTGGTCTGGTCCTACTTCCTCCGGTTTCACTAGGGTAGCTTTTAGACTCAATCTTGTTCCTTTTCTCCAATGGGATATTCTTTTCCTCTTTTCTCCTTTGAGATAGTCACTACTTCTTCCTTGAAACACAATGCCTGCAGCTATGCATGCCTCGGATAATTGATTCCAAATGCACCATGCAAAGGAAATTAGAAATGCTGGAGACATAGCATCTTTAAGGGGCCAGAAACAGAATCTGACCCATATTTCACCCTGACATAATCCACCCCATAATCTTGGTCAAGACACTTAGGAGACACTAGGTCAAGACACTTGGTCAAGAAAGTGTAGTGTAGTTTCCTCATCTGTAAAATGAGATCAGTAATTACCTACTCCACAGTTAACAAATGGCAATTAAAAGCTTCACAATCTACGTAAGAGTGTCAGATGCTTTGGAGAGAGAGTGGTGTCCAAATTCCCTCCACCAAACCCTATTCAAACTCTCCCTTGCCTAGGGGTCTCCCATTTAAAGCTAGTACGTTTCTGCTGGGAAAGGAAAGACAGCAGGTTCAATACTCATAGTCTTTTTTCTTAATAAGCCATTAATGATGTCAAAGAAGTCTTGGTCATTTGGGAAATAAGAAACCAGTTATTAGAGGGAGGCAGTTTAGTACAGCAGAAGGAGAAGTGGATTTTGAGTCAGAGCATGTTGGTTTGAATTCTAGCTCCATCATTTGCAACCTTTGTGACCTTGGGAAAGTCACTTAAACTCTGTGAGTCTCAGCTACCTCATTTATAATGTGAGAATTTGGGACCTGATGACTTCTAAGGAAGAGTCTTTCAGCCTCTATGTCTATGTGAGCCAGCTGAATAATAGTACACTTATTCTATAGAGCCCAGAATCTGAATCTCAGATTCAATTTTTCTGCCTCCTTCGCTCCCTTTGAGGCTCCAGCTTCTTCAGCCTGAAGATGATAAGTAGAAATAGTCACATCTGTAATCCTTGATTGGAACATTCTTATGACTGAAACTGAAAACAACCACTTTTGGCGCGGAGAGGGGAGAGAGTTGGGAGGAGGGGATGTGTTATGACAAGAAGGCTAGGATGAAGCTGAAGAAGTTATCATTTAATGTTAAGTAGCCGTTTATCACTACTTTTCAAAAATGTCAGAATTTGGTAGAAAGCTGACACAGCAACAATTTTCCTTTGAATCAACTAGTACCAAAGAAGACTATTGAAATTAAGTACCATAAACAATTCTTTAGTTTAAGAAATTAGGAACCCCTTCATGAAAGGTCACACATTGCTTACAAATATAAACAGATTATCCCAAAAGCTTTATATTAGTGAAAATCAATTCTTTCTAATGTTTAATATAAGAAAGGTGTCTGGAAGGGTTAGGAGATGGGGAAAGATAAATACTGAAAACAAAACTGGAATCCATTTGGACAATGGTAGGTCTCTGTCAGTCATGGAATAAAGACAAGTCATGGATTCATTGACCAAATAGTGATTTCCCTCAGAAACTTGATTTTCAAGTAATTTTGTCTGAAGACAAAAAACTGAAGACAAAAAAACCTGAAGACAAAATAAAGGATGCTTATTGATAAAAAGGAAAAAAAACCAAACCACCTAAAAAACTCAGGTGTAGTATGCCAGAATAGATCAATGTAATGAAGTAAAGAAAACTCTGCGAACCAGACAATGCACCCAACCCAAAAAATAATACAAAAGTGATGCCAGCACTCCAATGTACTGAAAAGGGAAAGCCAAATTTTTCACTCATGTCTCTAGTTTATTTTTTTAATGACACACTTGAAGATTTGTACTCAAACTCTGCCATATATGTTTATTAATAAAATTCAAGAATGTAGATAGCTTTTTCGAGGATTACAGATGTGACTATTTCTACTGATCATCTTCAGGCTGAAGAAGCTGGAGCTTCAAAGGGAGCAAAGGAGGCAGAAAAATTGAATGAGTTCAAAGGCACTATTTCCAAATACTTTTGTACTAACATTCTGGGGCTGCTGAATTGAAGCACACTTTTCTAGTTGGTTGTTAATGTATATTTTCTTCTTTTCCCTTCTCCTTCTCTTTTCTCTTCCCACCATCTTCTCTTCCCTCCTCTCTCTGACTTCTATTCCAATATACCACATGGCAGGGTCTCCAACCTCTGCCTTTGGGCATACCATGAGGAAAAGTAGAATGATATCAGAAGGTCAGATCTGACACAGGAAGCAATAGCCATTGACTGGCTCTCCATTGGTATTCAACACAATGAGATCTCACTATCCATCAGGAACACAGTCACACAAGCTTTACCCAGAACACATAAGATACAAGCCTTCTCTAGACAGAAGGTCCACTACAAAAGCGCAAAAGAAGAGAAGACACCTGAGGACCCTGGCCATGCTATCTTGCTATGATAAAGATGCTTCCTTGTTCCTTATTTCTCTCCATATTCTCACTCCTCCACTCGGCATCTACAGGATTGTTGGGCCAACCGAAGACAAACATCAAGTAATGTTCTATTGTTCCTTTCTTTCCAAAACATACCAGCAAATTGCAGCTCTGCTAGAGTACATTCCCTTTCCACAAAATGGCAGGGTTGAGCTAGGTAGTCATTAAGGTCTCTTCCAACTCTGACACTTACAAAACTATGCAAGTGTCCAAGAAGATGTTTGTGAAACTTCTTGACTCCCAGGATAACATAGCAAGGGTTTCTTTCTTCAGTTGTGGTCCATATAATTGTGTGGTATAAAAACTGTCCGGATATACTTCCCAGAGGAGCAGCTGCTCCCACTCCCCTTCTGCCCCTATGGATCAGCTGTGCTGCTTGTCTTATTGTTGCTTTAAAAAAAATGATGGCAGCTTTGTATGGTAGTGCCTAGAACTGCAATATTTCCACTGGAAAGGTGGGAGAGACTGGGCACAAGGGAAGCAAAGCCTCTCCTTTTAGCCTGGCCATTTGCTTGAAAGTGATGAAGTGTGATGGTAACAGCTCAGAGAAGGCTCCTGTTCACCAATTCCTTAAAATCAAATAAGGCAAATGCAGGGTCACTGGCAGATATGACTGTTATTCAGTGATCTGTATACTGTGCAACAGGGGCAGCTAATGAGCACTTGGCCTGAAGTCAAGAAGACTCATCTTCCTGAGTTCAAATCTGGTCTCGAGTGAGATGACCCTGGACAAGTCACTTAACCCTGTTTGCCTCAGTTTCCTGATCTGTAAAATGAGCTGGAGAAGGAAATGACAAACCACTCCAGTATCTTTGCCAAGAAAAGCTCAAAATGGGGTCACAAAGAGGTGGATTTGACTGAAAATGACTAATAACAACATTGCACAACAGAGCTTTAATTAATGCAAAAAGAGGTTTGACATGGAACCTGGTAGACATAACTGGAGCCATTTTGAGGAGGCAAAGAATAAGTTCCATTCACTTGGGATGGTCTTGCAAAATCTATATAGTATTTTGAAGGCAGTATCTTGGTCACTCTCCAAGGACAAGCAGACAATTTTGGTGCATTATGCTAAGTGGTCTGGTAAGTGACGGGGTACTTTTCTTTATGGATTCTTCGGTATGAGCATCAATTCCAGGTAACCCACCATAGCATCTAAGCTAGTGCTATATCATGAAAATATATCCTGGATGCATTGCATATAGTTTGATCAAGACAATGAGATTTGTGACCACTCTTTGATCACAGTGACCACTTTCTGCAATAACATGACTTCTTCCACCTAAAAAGCATCTTTTATGACCATATACCTCATAGGGACAGCGTGCATTCCGCTGGCAGCTGCTCTGCTTCCCACTCCCTCCACACCCAGTCCAAGATGCAGGCCAAGCTGGGATTCTGTCCAGTAAACGGTGCACTTTGGTCTGCCTAAAGGAGGAGGAAGGTCATTTAAATTTTAAACATTTAAACTTCCAGGGAATGTGGCAGAATATGTAATCTGAGCCCTGGAGTAGCAGGCAGGAGTATTTGATAGTGTTCTTCCAAGTGTGTAGCTATAACATGGAGCAAGAGCTCCTTGAGCGTCGTATGTGGTGACATGATCAAGGGTGCTGGCTTATTCTTAGAGAAGAAAGGGAAGGGAAGGGGAGGAGAGGGGAGGGGAGGGGAGGGGAGGGGAAGATGATCAGTAGAAATTTTACAGATGTGACTATAGCTTCGAAATCTGTTCCCCAGGAAAATAAGCAAGGGCTTCTTAATTCATTTTGATGCTTGTAAATTCTGTTGTGTAGATAACACTACTCTTAAATAGTTGACCAATGTATGCCTTAAAGCCATCTGGAATTTTGTGGCTAAGCAAAGCTCCATTCTGCAAACTTTTACGGTTTAGTAAGTACCAGACCCAGAAATGACCTTAAGGATTATCTCCTCCAACTCCTTCATTTTGCAGATGGGGAAAGTGAAGAGTACAAAATATGGTTTATATTTATTATATTGTTCTAGCACAGACTCGGCATGTTAGCACTGCTGGAAAGTATTCTCATGCTGGCAAATTCAATGTCCCTGAAAGCTTTTTTTCCCCCTCAAGAAATCACATCGTAATCACAGACTTTCTGGACTAGAACGATGTATGGCAGGTCATCTAATACAACGTTTTCTCATCTTACAGATGAAAAAAATGAAATCCTGAGGATCTGACTGATTTGCTTAAGGTCACTCAGCTTTTAAGGGGCAAAGTTTAGATTCAAACAAGGGACTACTGACCCCAAATGCAACATTCTTTCTACTCCACTACCGTCTCCTCAGCAATGGTTGATTCTTATACAAGAAAAGCTATGGCAATGTTCTAAGTAGAAACAAGATAAATCATCAAAGAGACCGTGTAATGTAGCAGAAAAGATCAGCAGAAACCTGGGTTCAAATCCAGCCTCCGATGCCGTGTTGCCCTTGGACAAGGCAACTTAATGCCTCTGGGCCTCAGTTTTCCCATCTGTAAAATGAGGATAACACCAACTGCATTGCCTAGCTCACAAGGTTACTATGAAGATTAAAAGAGGTGAAATATGCCATGTGTGTCATAAACATCTACTGCAAAGTAAATGTTGAGCTCTGTGACTATCAGTACTTGATTCCATGAAAAAAATCAGATACTCCAAGTTCAATAAAGAGCAGAAATAGGCTGCAGCATATTTCCAGTGATGATAGGTACAAGAAGTGGCGCAGAGAATATCACTGCAGAAAGGTATACTCTGAAGACATGCTTCATCAGGCTGGTCTCCTCCAGGCTAACCATCTCCAGTTTTTTCAACCAATCTCATTCTGGCATAGGTATGAGGCCCCTCACCATCCTAGTTGTCCTTTCTGGGTCTTTCTACAATTTATCAACGTCCTTCCCAGATTGGGGTGCTAAGGATTGAACACAACACTGACACTCCAGATGAAGTCTGACCAGGGTAGAGGAGAGCCCGACTCTTCTTGGAATCTATGCCTCGCTTACTCAGGAAGACCTGAGTGCAAATCAGCCTGAGACACTCCCTAGCTATGCGGTCCTGGGCAAGTCACTTAACCTCTGTTTGCCTCAGTTTCCTCATCTGCAAAATGAGCTGAAGAAGGACATGGCCAACCACTCCAGTATCTTTGACAAGAAAACCCCAAATGGGGTCACAAAGAGTCAGACATGATGGAAATAACTCAACAACAATAACAAGTGTAAACTTTAAACACTTTATAAATGCGAGTTATTGCTATTATTATTATCTTTAGCTAATCATCTTCTCCTCATCCACCACAAAGATCCCTATGGAGTATTTCCTCCATACCCAGAATCAGAGAATTAGAGATGAAGGCCTCTCAGCATAAGAAGGAGCCTCTGACATCATCTAGTCCAACCTGTACTTAAATAGAAATTCTCTCGACAGTAACCCAACAAGTAATCACCTAGCTTTTGTTTGAAACCCTCCAGAAAGACACTTCCCAAAGCAGCCCAGTTCAGGCTTGGAGAGCTCCAATTGTTGGGAATTGTTTTCCTTTTTTTAAATTTTTATTCACTTAATTTTTAATTTATGGGATAAAATAATCATTTACATAACACAGTAGAATAGAAAAAATGATTGCATATGAAACTGCAAATCTGTTATGTACAAAACTTGCCATTCCTTTTAAATATATAACAACATTATTATCTAAATTTCTTTTTTTTCTTTTTTCTTCTTTCTCTCCCCTTCCCCTCTGCTCTAGAGGTGGCTACCATTAGACATTAGATATGTAGGCATGTATATGTATGTGTGTGTGTGTGTGTGTGTGTATGTAAAATCATTCTATACAAACTTCTATTTATCAGTTTTTTTCTCTACATGCATCTTCCTTCACATGTCCTTTGTAGTTATTTTAGGTATTTATAATAGTCAAAATGACTTATTTTTATTTATTATATTACTACACTCAAAGTTGTTCTTAAAACAATATTGCTGATACTTGTACACAATGTTCTCTTGGTTCTGCTCATTTCTCTCTTCATTATTTCATGCAAGTCTTTCTAAGATCACTGAGCTCACCATTTCTTATAGCACAATAGTATTCCATCACAATCATATTCCACAGTTTGTTCAGCCATTCTCCAGTTGATGGGGATCCCTGCAATTTCCAGTTCTTTGCCATCACAAAGACAGCTGCTATAAACATTTTAGAACACATAGGTTCTTTTCCTTTTCCCCTAATCATCTTTGGAAATAAACCTAGTAGTGGTACTGCTAAGTCAAAGGGTATAGGCAGTTTAATAACTCTTTGGGCATAATTCCAGATTGCTCTCCAAAATGGCTGGACCAGTTCACAATTCCACCAGCAATGAATTAGTGTCCCAATTTTTCCATATCCCCTGCAACATTTGTTGCTTTCCCCTTCAATCATTTTAGCCAATCTGATAGCTGTAAAATGATATCCCAAGATTGTTTTAATTTGCATTTCTTTAATCAATAATGATTTAGAGCATTTTCTTTCTTTCCTTCTTTCTTTCTTTCTTTCTTTCTTTCTTTCTTTCTTTCTGATAGGCAATGGGGTTAAGTGACTTGCCCAGGGTCACACAGCTAGTAAGTGTTATGTGTCTGAGTCTGGATTTGAACTCAGGTCCTCCTGAATCCAAGGCCGGTGTTCTATCCACTGTGCCACCTAGCTGCCCCCTACAGCATTTTTTGTATGACTATAAATTGTTTTGATTTCTTCATTGGAAAACTGCCTGTTCACATACTTTGACCATTTATCAATTGGGGAATGATTCATTCTTATAGATTTTACAAAGTTCTTTATGTATTTGAGATCTGAGAAAGGTCTATAAATTTTTTTCACAATATAAAGACTAGATTCGCCACTCTACAAATTCCTGGATCTATTGTTCCTGGATCTGGGGGTATATACAGAATAGAACTTCTGATACCTGAAGACAGTTATCATCAATATTCCCTCAGTCTTCTTCTCTTCTCTAGGATAAGTCTCTTCAGTTCCTGCAACCTAAGGCCATTGGACTGTGAGCTCCTTGAGGGTAGGGATGGTGTTTTTTACCTTTCTTTGTAATCCTAGCACTTAGCACAGTGCCTGGGACATAGCACATGGTCATGCTTGTTGATTTGATTTGTTGACTTCATATGATGTGACCATATGCAGAGGGTCCTTTGGACCCTCTCCAGTTTAATTTCCTTCCTAAAATGCAGTAACTACAACTGAATATAATACTCTCTTCATGTACATTGAATAACAGAGTCAAGGCCCAAAAGGACCATCATGGGCCAGATCACCAAAGCCCTTAGATGAAACCTTAACATGAACAAGTATACAACCTTACAATGGGATTCCAAAAATCAATGTCACAACTATAAGATGGCAGAGGAGTTATTACACATCAGTTTATCTGAAAAAGAACTGAGAGTTTTAGTGGATTGTAGGCTTAATGAAAGCCATCAATGTGATAAGGGAACAAAAAAAAATTAATGCAATCTGGCTCCAACATACTTTTCTAAGTATTTCATATTATTCCTTTTCCTATGCCCCAGATTTCAGAAAAAACTGTACTTCCTCAAACTTCACACATTCATACAAGCTGTCTCTCATGATTGGAATGCCTTTCACATTCCTTTTTCTCTCTTTCGGAATCCCTATCTTCCTTAAAGGTTCAACTCAGGTGTCCACTCCTCCAAGGCACCTCCCAGATGCCTCCAGTTGGTAGTAGCTTTTCCCTCCTCCTAGTACCTTGCATTCATTCACCTTATCTACATGTCTATTGTAAACCCTTAAATGTAGGCTACTTGAGGGCAGGGACAATTCCTTTTTTGTCTTTCTATCCCTACTGCTCAGTACAGGATCTTCCATATCATGAGTACTTTAAAAATGTTTGTAAAATTGAACCAAAATGAACATCAGTGGGATAGGATAGAAAGAGCCCCCCAGCACAGGGCTTGGAACATGGTAGGTAATTAATAATCGCTTGTTGAGTCAAACTGAACAGAAAGTCCCACAAAACATAAAAAAAAAAATAATAAAGACTGAACAGAGTTCAATTTTGTTCCGTAAATTCCATCAGTTTCAATTTAGAAACCTCTGTATTTGTAAAAAGTCAAACTGAAGATGAAGGATGCATGTGGTGAAGAAAGTGAGAGATTTGGCATCATGGGAATGGAGTTCAAATCCTGGGCCTTCTATTTTACTGTGGGGCCTTGAACAAACAAAGTAACCTCTCTAGGCCGCAATGGTTTCATCCTGAGCGGAGACTGATTATTAGCCTGTTATGTGTCATGGACCCCTTTAGCTGACTCATAAAGACTATGGACTCCTTCTCAGAGAAAATATTTTTAAATGAATAAATTAAAATACATAGGAAAAGAAACCAATTATATTGAAATACTGTTATCCAATTTTTTAAAAATCAAGTTCATGGACCCCAG